GATCTGGTGAACTTTCTAACCATATCCTCAAATGCAGAAACTGTTGGATTATATGCATAGTTGTTGAACTTGGTGATCAACCCAATCCTGTGCAAATTATTCATATATTTAAGCTAGTCCTTAAGGTTCCTCTGCAGGTGTTGCAAGCAAAATGCATGGTGTGCAGTGGGGAAGATAATGGGCATTGACTCAATGAGTCCGACGTATCGGTCCGAAATGAACACGAAGGTCCTATCATCACCGAACGCATTCCAGAGGTTCTACAAAAACCATGACCCAGTTTGTTGTGTTCTCCACTCCAACGATCATAAACGCTATTGGAAACAAACCTGGTTTGTCACGTGTTGTTAGTATGTTGTGTAATGTACAGGGGCATGTGTGCGACAATGACAAAGGTTGATAAATTTGAAAATACTATGGAAGTGTGTGTTAGTTACCTCGGTTTCCGTCCTTTGTAGTGGAAACAAGTAAATTTCCTTTGAACCTTCCCTTCAAGAAAGTGCTATTTAGGAAAAGTAATGGGCGGCAATGTTTGAATCCGGCAATACATGCCTTGAACGATATGAAGTACCGTTCGAACCGGTTGTCATGTTCATCACATTCAATGTTGATGTAAGTGCTCGGGTTGTGTTCCATAACGGCCTCGTTGTACCAACGTAGTTGGTTAAAAGATGCGGAATGGGCACCAAATAACTCGCCCCTAGCTTTTTCGACACCTAACCAACCGACGCGGTAACTTATCTCAAGCCTGTAGTTCTTTTTCAGATAAAATGCAACATCATTTGGAATTGTAAGAGGCTTGTCGCATATACGTTGTGAGAAAATGTCGGATACAATATCTGACCCGAGGTGACTGTTCTTCACGGTGCGAATAGCGACACCGCAACTGTGCTCGTTGTCCCATTTTCAAACGTAGAAAAACCCATTTGCATCCAATACTCGCGCGTGCACAAACCACGAGCACCCCTTCATGTCACGCATCGAACAGACAGCAGTAATTCATACCGGGTCATTCTTCAAGTATTTGAAATTGAACCCGCATTCCACCACATATTTGCAAAGGACATTCCGGAAAGCTTGCGCTCCCCCTTCGAAACTTTGACCCACATGAGTACTCCTGTTAGCCCATGGCGCTGATAAGAAAGTCTTTTCCTCATGTGGACAATAATTGGGCAACAAGTTGACATCGTATTCCATGCCCGTAATCCTGACCCCCCGTTTAAAGCCGCGACCACGTGTACGCGGGGCTGTCAAAAACACAATCACTGTCCGACACACCACTTCCCCCACTGCGTAACTCAATCATAACATCGATTAGTTGCAACCAGAATGAGTGGGCAAGGTGAACTATATTCTGCATGTCTACATCGATTTGTAATTGAAAATTGTTGTAACCCAGAATCTTGAAAAACAAACAAAAATTGTCCGGTGTCAGCCTAACAAATTTTTCGCACACAAAATTGACAAGATCTCCAAATGTGTATGGTGATTTCAGTTTGTATGCGACATTTGTTGACCGGTAACTGCACAGTAACATGACAATGTTGTCCATCCCTGCAATAAAACATAGACATAGAAAAAAGTGTCAGACAAAATGGTAACAAACATGTATAAGACACCCCTGTGTATGGCATATCAGAAACTAGGAATACATTTCAGTATATGTCACACAACACAACTCACACCCAATCCACCAATCTCCCCTACCAATACCTCTCCCAACACATGATAATGAAAAATGAAATGGCAGACCACGGCTGGGGACGGGTGGCGCACCTAACACCTACTGCATATAAATTAGAAAAGTAAAGGGAAGAAAGCATCGTCGTAACCGACGTCAATAGAATACCTAATGAAATTTGGCAATGGAAAAACTGGTTAGCCCCCTACAGGAAAAGCTGTAAGTGATAATGTTTCGCCACACTGTAAACACCCCCTATATGAACCCTTTTTATGCCAACTATGGAAAGATATTCCCCCTCTACACACGTGATTAACTATAATGTGATCCCTTAAATTGTGATACCCATCAAAAGAAAGGGCAGAAAAGTTCACAAATAACCTAATTCAAATCAAAACAGGACCAACCGATACTACTATTTATACGAATAGGATCTGGTGGTGCATATGTAAATCGGTGGGACTGAATAGTGTAACTGATTTAGTTTTGGGATTTTTGGATAATTTTCCCATTTTAAAATTCAACTAACATGATGTAATACTATATATTAACAACAAGGGAAATGATACAGACAACAAATTAATGACCAAGAAATTGTTCATCAACACAAGAGATCAGTGGGACCATAACTTTAATTTTAAGAAGAAAAAAACACAACGCTTTGGTTGCAATATTTGGGGCGACTCTTGCTGGTCATTTTTAAAAGGAAAAAATGATATAAAAGTTTACTTTTTAGATTCATTTTTTAAACTCAGTGATATGTCAAGAAGATGACTAGTTGATAAATAGGGAATAGTTAATTTTAATGAATATCTTCTCGACACATCATTGGGTCTAAAAAGTGGGAAGAAAGGTACTGGTATCCTCTGCTTCTTCAAGTTCGTTCCGAATACGTTGTAGTTCGTCGATGGCAACATGTACATGATTTCTCAGTCTTGGATAGATAAATCTTTCCTGGACAACGTCTTTTAACTTGTTTAATTTCTCTAATAAACTTGAATCAGCACATCAGCTCCTATGGTTTCTCTCCCATCAATCTCTTCGTAAATGATTTCTCACAAATATTGGAAATTACTAAGTCAACTGTGGATCAATAACTGGTGTGGTGTGGTGTGGTGTGGTGTGGTAGACAGCCATCGGTGGTTGATAATGATTTATCCATATTACGAGTTGCTTGGTACAGAGTCCGGATCCTCGGCCGCCCATTTTTGCGGCCCGTCCTGTGGCGCCCCAAAACGACATCATTTTGGGGCCAGATTTCAATTTTAAAAAAAAGAAGACAGAACAGGAGCAACGAAGGGAGAAGAAGATAGAAGAGGGAAGAAGAAAGAAGCAGAGGGGAAGAGAGAGAGGAGAAGAAAAAAGAAGGCACCACCGCTGGCAACAACCTTTGGCCTTCCTTCACCCACGGCGTCACCATCTCCTCGCCATTGCCACAACCCACCTTCTCTTCCTGTTCTTCTTCTTCCTCCTCCTTTCTCTCACTAAAACTACTAACCCAGCAACCATCTTGATCTTTTCTCCTCTTTTCTTAGCCACGGGTGTACCAGAGGGAGTTCGTCGGTCATCGTTGTTGCCGTTCCCCCCTGGTCGTCCGTTGTTGATTGTTCACCGTTCACTGAACTATTGAGTCAGATCTATTGATACTGATTGAATTCTTAATTCGAAGTAGTTTTTTGGGTTTTTGTACTGGATCTATATGTAAGATATGAACTATTCTCATACACTTTGCTAGATCTAATGTTTGACTATTTGTATTGATCTAATTTTTATTAATTTTGATTTATCATCTAGGATGTTCAAGTGTTGTTCTGTATATATATATACACATACATCTCAGATTTTTGAACCTCAGTTTTTGTTTTTTTTGTTTGAATGGTTATTGGTGTTTTGGGTGTTTGAAGTGTTTGTATTGTTGTTCAAAAATCTGAGATGTATATATATATCTGGGTGTTTGAAGTGTTTGTATATATATATATATCTGAGATCTATGTATTGAAGTGTTTGTATATAGTGTTTTTATTGTTGTTCAAAAATCTGGTTATTGATGTTCCAGTGTTTGTATTATTCTGGGTGTTCTGGGTCTTCTCCTCTCTCTCTTCCTCTCTGCTTCTTTCTTCTTCTTCTTCTTTTTCTCTTATCTGATTCTGTGTTTTTTTTTTTTGTTTTTTTGTTTTTGGAAATTTTGTCCCAAAACGACTTCGTTTTGAGGCATAGCAAGGAACCGCCGCCGGAGAACGCGCTCGTTTGGTACACACTTGAAAAGAGTAGTTCTATGAATCCAGGCACAAAGAATCAGAAGCTAACAAAATTTAAAATCAAAGGTCTAGATTCATTATTAATGATAGGGTCTCACACATAAAACTTTTATTGTACACCATAAATTTAGCATTTTGGGTATTTTCTGGATTTGGTTTTCTGAGTCCCTAGACTTTCTACACTGAAAAAGACACAAGTTAATTTCATTTGCTTTTTTTTTTTTAATCTTTAAATTATATTTTATTATTTATTTATGGGGGAATTGCCAAAAAAATGGTATTTAACACAAAATAATTACAATGTCATGAAAGTACAAACAATTTATGCATTAGATTGTGAAATTAAGACTTGAACTACCACCTCTTTGCAATTATTTTAAGTTTATACCATATTTTTGGAAATTGTCCCTTTATTTAATTGAAAAAATTACAAAAAAAAAACCCGGGTTTGATTATTATAACAAAATAAATTCTTAATTTTTAATTTTATCAATTTAAATATTGATCTTTTGATTTGTTGTCAATCTAAACTATTTGCGTATTTTTACTAAATAAAACTGATGAGAAAAAAAAAATTTAGTTATTAAACTCAATGAAAAATAGTATTTTAAATATTTTATGTACATCTATATTGAGTTTATAGAAATGATAGAGACCTCTTTTTTCTTGACCTCCACAATCCCCATAGACACATGTCCGTGAGTGATAGGGGGAAAAAAAACAAAAAGTAAAAACTTGGTCAATCCCAATATATTGAGAGTGGTGAGGGTCAAGGAAAAATGGAGTCTCAACCTTTTTCCATTGACTTTAATGACTAAAATGTTATTTTTATAGTTTGTTTATTAACGAAAATAGGTAAATAATTTATATTAAAAACAAATCAAAATATTAAAATTTGAATTAATAAAATTATAAACTCAAAATTTATTTTATTGTAAGATTCGAGCTCAAACATTTTTTGTGTAATTTTTCATATTTAATTTTAGAGCAATTTTAATTTCAACTAACATGATGTAATACTATATATTAACAAGAAGCAAAATGATACAGACAACAAATTAATGACCAAGAAATCGTTCATCAACACAAGAGGTCAGTGGGACCATTACTTTAATTTTAAGAAGGAAAAACACAATGCTTTGGTTGCAATATTTGTGGCGACTCTTTCTGGTCATTTTTAAAAAGAAAAAATGTTTACTTTTTAGATTCATTTTCTAAATTCAGTGATATATCAAGAAAATGATTAGTTGATAAATAAAGAATAGTTAATTTTAATCAATCATCTTCTTGACAGTCTAGAAAGTGGATCTAACTTTTGAACCTGAATAGAAATGCTATGCAAAAAAAAAAAAAAATCATTTTAAAATTTAAATAACTTAAATTATGCAATTAAATACTTTTTTAAAAATATTATTTTGAAAAAAATTGTTATGTGTTACCCATTTCTTTTATCACTATTTGCATGACTGCCTATATGAATTATGTTTATTATTTTATTTGGAGAGAATTATTAAAAAAATAATAAAAGTGAATAATATTTAATCATGTAATTCGGTGATATAAAATGTTTAAAAAAATGAGAAAAGGAAAAAGATAAATGACATAAAATAGCTCTCATTTTAAAATGAGTGGAAAAGAAGACAAATGTTTTTGTTGTTTAATTCTTCTCATTTTTCTTCTATATTTTAGTTCCCATTTTCTTATTTCTGTTTTAGTTATCCCGGTCTTCCTATAACGACCCCGGTCTTTTCCCATTTGATTATTGTATCCGGACTTAGGTTCCGTAGATTCTGTCCTTGTATAATTGTTGTTGTTGTCCCTTATTTTCTCATTTGGAACTATAGGATGTGTTGGACAGGTTTGTTTCAGGTTGGTTGGGTTTAGAAACCAAGTGTTGCTGTCCAGAATTATGGATCTTCGCTCGAGCGAGGAGTGTGTCGCTCGAGCGAGCTGTTGTTTTTGGTTCTTCGCTCGAGCCGGGGTTTGGTAGCTCGAGCGAGAGTTTGCGTCTAGTTTGGACCTGTAGCTTAGCATTCTTGGCTCGAGCGAGATTTTCTTCGCTCGAGCAAGTTAGTTCGTTCTTCGCTCGAGCAATAGTTCCTTCGCTCAAGCGTGAGTCTGGTTACAGACCTGAGGGTTTGAGTTCTTCGCTCGATCGAGTTTTCTTTCGCTCGAGCGAGCTTTTGGGTTGTTGGCTCGAGCAAGGTTTTCTTGGCTCGAGCGTATCTTTTCTGTGTTTGGTCGCTCGAGCGACCAAGTCTTCGCTCGAGCGAGCCTGTCAGGTTTAAATAGGCAGCAGCGTGTTTCAGATCTGTTTTTCATACACTTTCATATTCCAAAACCCTAGTTACGAGTTTTCTCTCCCTATACACACCTTCTCTCTTAGGATTGATCTTCTTAGGGTGTGTTTCTACCCTAGATCCTTCATTAAAAAGAGTGTGTGAGTCGAGGGCGAAGCTTCAAGTCTGCAACCCAGAAGCACGCATGAGCGACAGAATGCTCACTCGAGCGAAGAAACCCAAAACATACAGCTCGCTCGCTCGAGCGAAGGAAAGCTCGCTCGAGCCAATAAATGCAACCTTCAAGTCCATAACCAGATGCAGACGCAAGCTCGAGCACAAGACTTTTCACTTGAGCAACCAAACACAACCCTCAAAAAAAAAAAAAAAAAAGAAAAAGAGGAAGATTTGAAAAAGTTTGCCCACGGTGGTCTAAAATGGCCAGGGGAAAGTGAATTTAGGTTTAGCGGCGACTGAAGAGACGTTTGACCGGACAGAATTTAAATAGCTCGGCGTTGGATTTAAGCTCGGTTGAAGACCACAGTTTAGCTCTGGGTTTGAAAGGCTAAATTTTAGTCTCGGCTGAAACACAGTAAATCCCAATCATACTAACGCAGATGGAATTAAGGGGCATTGAGATGGGGGGGGGGGGGGGGGGGGGGGGGGGGGGGGGGGGGGGGGGGGGGGGGGGGGGTAAATTTATTGTCTATAATTGGGCCGAGCTAAGTAGGAACTTCTTTGTTAATTGGGCTGCAGGATGGACCAGGTAAAAGCAGATTTACTTCGGTCTAAAAGACTAAGTGTAATGAGCCGAGCTAGCTAGGCATTGTGCTGGGAGAGCCGAGAATAGCTTGGCATTGTGGGCTTGAGCACGAGCTAACTCCTACTTCGTACTTGGGTTAGCTCGGTAAATTAAGGAACGCCGGTTGGAGTATGTCAAACCGAGGTACATAGTAGTGAAAGGAAGAACCGAGCTAGTTGGAGTCGGTCTAGTCTGCGGCTTCAGCATGGTCATGTTTAGCTCGGTCATATTGACATCCAACTGTGGGTAAAAACCACTCACTTGGTTTAAGCAGTGAGAGGGGTGGTGAAGGGATAAGCTTTATCTTTCAGGAGTGTAATTCCTAAAAGGACTCTATATAGAGGAGTAAGAGTCCTACTAGGATTTGTGCCACGCAGAACCTTATAAAAGCTCATAACTCACCTATGGAGAGGGACACAACCTTGATTCCTGAATTCACAGAGCTTTTTGTGTTTATTGTCTATTGTGCTGACTTAGGCATCAGAGGGGTTTCCGGCACACACTCGCCGGTTTAGCTCACATTTGTGTTTTCAAGTGGCAAAGCGATGACGTTTCGAGGAGTGCAAGCTTGATCAACAGGATCATACGAGAAGAATTATTTCATGCTCGTACACTCTCCATCACAAAAAACTCAAGTTGTCACCACAAGAAGGCTGCCATCTCCTAGAGAAAGAGAAGTGGTTTGAAGATCTTAAGCAAGTAAAGAACTTGAAGATCAAGATCTTCCATTCAAGGTTTCTCTTTCTTAAAAGAGGATTTCCATACTATCATGGATCATGTATGTATTCGCTTATTTTTGTATAGTAGAAATTCATATAGTTTTCATGTATAGAATTGAATCCTTAATGGTTTTTAGTTTTATGTTCCGCAAAGTTTTCTATCAATTGGTATCAAAGCTTAGTTTTCAATTCTGATGCATGAAACGTATAAGTATGAATTTCATTTTATGATGATATTTTGTGTAACAAGTGCAAAACCTTGATTTACACTTGTCCAATTTATTTTTATTTTTGGCCAATCTTTTATTCTATTGATATTAAAATAAAAAATTGAAAATTATTGAACAAGTGGTAATTAAGATAATGTTTATTCACTTATAATGTTTTGTTACACACCTATGAGTTGAAACTTGTTGATCAGCCCAACGGAGGTTCAACACTATGTATGTTGAACAACGAGATGATTAGTATAATAAATATAGCAATAAGTTTTTCTGCCCAACGGTGATAAACTTCTCACATGCTTTAGTTAATAAATAAATAAGAGACATTGAGTTTTTTTCTGCCAAACGGTGATAAACTCGTTACGGTCTTAATGATTATTTTATTTCATTTTATTTTATGTTGTTTATTTTATTAGTCATCTCATTTATTTTTATGAATGTTAAAATATATTGTTATTCGGCTCAACGGAAGGATAACTTGATTTCGTATCTAACTAATTATGTTTTATAGTTAGATATATTTAACTTGTGGTGTTATTTTTATGAAGATGTGAAAGTAGTTTTTCTGATTATATTATGTAATGGATATTATGTGTTTGTAGCATTGAATCCTACTGCAATTAATAGTTACTTGTCTGGTATTGAAGCTTTGAGTGGAACTAATTTTAGAAATGGAAGGAACAAATTAAGAATTGTTTTGGGAATTATGGATTTAGACTATGCATTAAGAGAGCCTACTCCTACAAAGCCTAATGATACAAGTTCTAAGGAACAAATGGCTTTATATGAAAAATGGGAACACTCTAATCGCTTAAGTCTAATGATTATGAAAGGCTTAATTACACCTGCAATTCAAAGAGCAATCCCTGTTTCTGAAAGTGCAGTGAGCTATATGAAATCTATTGAAGAAACAATTCATTGGAACTTCCAAATCCCTTGCTAGTACTCTCATGATTAAAATGATGATAATGAAATATGATGGTTTGAGTGGTGTTCGTGAACATATCTTAAAGATGAATGATATGGCCTCTCAATTAAAGGAAATGGACATGGAAATTTCTGAAGATTTTCTTGTTCATTTCATTATGATTCTTCTTCCTGTGCAATTTGGTCATTTTAAGATCAATTATAATACGCAGAAAGATAAGTGGAAAATGAGCGAGTTAATTGCCATGTGTGTTCAAGAAGAAGAGAGACTTAAAGCTGAAAAGCCTGATATGGCTCACCTTACCACCTTGGGTCCAACCAAAAAGATTTTCAAGAAAGGCAAAAGTAAGAAGAAGAAGAAGAATGCAAATGATGAAACTCACAAGGCTAATGAAGAAAATAAGATTCGATGCCATTTCTGTCGAAAGAAAGGTCATATAAGAAAGGACTGTCCAAGTTTTAAAAGTTGGATAGACAAGAAAGGTAACACTTAATGCTTTGTGTCTTATGAATCCCTTTTGGTAGATGTTCCACCAAATTCTTGGTGGATTGACACTGGTGCAAGTATTCACATAACAAATTCCATGCAAGGATACCTTACAAGTCAGAAACAAATTAAAGGAGAACAAACCATTACGGTTTAGGAATGGAATAGAAGTGGATGCTGAGGCTATTGGCACCCTCCGTCTAATTTTAGACTCTGGTTTCATTTTAGATTTAGTAAACACAGTTTATGTTCCTGTTTTTACTAGAAACCTAATTTCTGTTTCACAACTTGATTCCTATGGTTATGAATTTAAGTTTGGAAATAATAGAGTCTCTTTATTCCACAATTCTCACATGATTGGTTCTGGTACTTTATATGGTAATCTTTATTCATTGAATTTAGATTCCACTTATGTACAATCTCTTTTATCCTTTAATGTAAACGACTTGGTAAATAAAAAGAGAAATCGAGTGAATGAAAATTCATCTATGTTGTGGCATAAGCTCTTGGGCCACATATCAAAAGAAAGGATGGAACGTCTTATTAAAGAAGAAATTTTAAGTTCACTTGATTTTTCTGATTTTAGTACTTGTGTGAATTGCATTAAAGGAAAATACACAAAGGCAAAGAAAAATGGTGCTACTAGGACTACTGAATTATTAGACACAATTCATACTGATATATGTAGTCCCTTTACTGTTTCGACTATTTCTGGCATAAATATTTTATTACTTTATTGATGACTTTTTCTAGGTATACTTATGTGTATCTTATTCGTGAAAAAATCAGCAGCACTGGATATGTTCAAACTCTATAAAGCTGAAGTTGAAAATTAACTTGGTAGACGGATTAAAAGTGTAAGATCTGATAGAGGTGGTGAATATTATGGTAGATTCACTAAGTCAGGTCAAAATCAAAGTGCTTTTGCTTTATTTTTGTTGAGAATGGTATTGTTGCAACTACACAATGCCTGGTACACCTGAGCAAAATGGTGTAGCTGAGCGACGAAACCGTACTCTTTTGGACATGATGAGAAGCATGATGAGTAACTCTTCTTTGCCAGATTACTTGTGGGGTGAAGCTTTAAAAACAGTTATCATGTTCTTAATAGGGTTCCTAGTAAGGTTGTGCCTATAACTCCTTATGAGTTGTGGGTTGGTAGGAACCTAATTTGAATTATTTACATGTATGGGGTTGTTCTGCTGAAGCAAAAATTTTCAATCACAAATAAAGAAATTAGACCCTAGAACTATAAGTTGTTATTTCATTGGATATCCTGAGAGATCAAAGGGTTTTAGATTCTATTGTCCACTCATAACACAAGAATTGTTGAAACTAGAAATACTATGTTCTTAGAGGATGAAAACATTAGTAGGAGAATTAATCTCAAAAATATTTCTTTGAAAGAAAATCGTGATTTTGCCTTCCACGATTATCCAAGAAAAATGTAGTACCTAAACCTATTGGTACACAAGAGATTTCTCACATTGAAAGAAGTTGTCCCAGTTGCAGAACAACCTTTACGCAGATCACAAAAGAAAAGAAACCAACATATCAGATGACTATGAGGTTACCTAAATGAGTGTGATATAGGCTTGGAGAACGATCCTGTTTCTTATGCCCAAACCATGAAAAATGGAAATGCAACTCAATGGTTAAATGCCATGAAAGATGAGTTAAAATCCATAAAAGACAACAATGTCTGAGATCTTGTAGAATTGCCTAAGGGAGCCAAAACTGTTGGATACAAATGGGTTTTTAAAACCAAGCGTGATCCTATAGGCAATGTCGAAAGATACAAGGCCATATTAGTTGCTAAAGGATACACTCAAAAGAAAGGATAGACCATAAGGAAACTTATTCTTCTATTTCTAATAAAGATTCCTTAAGAAATAGCCATGGCCTTAGTAGCTCATTATGATTTAGAGTTACATCAAATGGACGTTAAAACAACTTTTGTGAATGGTGACTTGCATGAAGTGGTCTACATGGACCAACCTGAAGGTTTTCAGGATGAAAGCAAGGAAAATATGGTTTTTAGGCTTAAAAAGTCCATATATGGTCTAAAGCAAGCATCTCGACAATGGTATCTTAAATTTCATGAAGTTCTCACCAAATTTGATTTTAAGGATAATGTGGTTGATCAATGTGTCTACCTTAAATCAGTGGGAGCAATATCTGCATTATAGTTTTGTATGTTGATGATATATTGCTTGCTAGCAATAATTTGGGAATGATACATAAGACAAAGCAATTCCTTACGAGAAATTTTGAAATGAAAGATCTTGTGGAAGCCTCTTTTGTCATTGGGATAAAAATTCACCGAGATAGGTCTCGTTGTATTTTAGGATTGTCCCAAAGAGCCTATATCGAAAAGGTTCTTAAAAGGTTCAACATGCAGAACTGTTCAAGTAATGTTGCCCCTATAGTTAAGGGTGATAAATTTAGTGAATTTCAGTGTCCCAACAATAATTTAGAAAGGGAAAAAATGAAAGAAATTCCTTATGCCTCTGCAGTTGGGAGCATTATGAATGCTCAAGTTTTATACACGTCCTGACATAACATTTGTAGTTGGTATGCTTGGTCGATACCAAAGCAACCTCGGACTTGATCATTGGAAAGCAGTTAAGAAAGTGTTGCGATATTTACAAGGCACTAAGGATTACATGCTCACTTATTAAAGAACAGATAGCCTTGAAGTGGTGGTTATTCAGATGCTGATTATGCTGGATGTAAAGACACTCGAAAGTCCACATCTGGGTACATTTTATGCTTGCTAATGGACCCATTTCGTGGAAGAGTCATAAGCAGTCTCTGACAGCCTCTTCCACTATGGAGGCAGAGTTCATAACATGTTATGAAGCCACATGTCATGCAGTATGGCTAAAGAATTTCAATATCTGGATTAGAACTTGTCAATTCAATTTCGAAGTCCTTACAGATTTACTGTGATAATGATGCTGTTGTGCGGTTCTCCAATAATAACAAAACTTCAGGAGGATCAAAGCATATTGATATCAAGTATCTAGTTGTTAAAGAAAGGATTCTGAATCAGACTGTTTCCATCTTTCATATTGGTACTACACTCATGTTAGCAGATCCTTTAACTAAAGGTCTCACACCTAAGTTTTTTTAAGAACATGTTGCGCGCATGGGCTTAGTAGAAAATTTGTCATGTTTAGACTTGAAATGAGTGATTAATATGTTCATGA